GGTACTCCAGACTTTATCGGCTTCAGATCAGATAACGAATTTTCGAATTTTATTTGAAAAGATCGATTGGTCAGATATGATTTTAGAAGGTTGTATAAAGAGTGAGGGAGAGACGTTTTGAGTTTAAACAGAAGTCCGACATGCCACACCTTGTCAAACGCCTGTTGGACATCCAAAAATGCAGCAGAACAGTACTGCTTTTTCTCAAATGTGTTTTTTTATAATATCCACTAATCGGTGGGTTTGTTGAATGGTAGAATGTTGTTTGCGGAAGCCGAACTGATGATCTGGTATTAAGTTTAATTCATCAACAGTGGGGGTTAACCTTTTAAGTATTACCTTTTCAAACAACTTTGATACTATAGGAAGCAAGCTTATGGGTCTGTAAGAAGATGCGTCATTAGATGGTTTGCCTGGTTTTGGGATAACAACTATTTGTGCAATTTTCAGTTGAACAGAAAAATATTCCAATCGTAACATAGCATTAAATATAAATGTCAACAACATAATGGCTTTACGAGGTAGTTCTCTTAAAATTTTTCCAGTGATGAGATCGTACCCAGGACTTTTCACGGGGTTAATTTCCTTAAAAATTATTCTTGAAACCTCTGAAGGAGTGCAAGATTTTATAGGCAGTGACAACTGATTTGGTGCATCCAAAAATTCGTAAATTTCACTTTCGTCATTGGGGGGATTCGGAGTAATAGGCTTAAATACACCAGAAAAGTAATCTTCAAAAACCTTCGCCTTTTCTTCAGGGGTTTTAGCCCAGGACCCGTCAGGTTTCCGAATTGGAGGTACATGTTGAACTGGACGTTTAATATATTTAGTAGACTTCCAAAGAGAATACTCGGTTGCTTCAGTTGGGGTTGGATTTTTCGTAAAATCGTCAAACCATGTATTTTTCAGTTCCACTAAAGATACAAATAAACTTATATTTGTCTAATGTTGCAGTGGCTGCAAGAAAGAACTTTTCTGAGGCTACAGAGGCATCAATAAAGACGTTGATTAGTAATTGGCTACAGCAAGCCAAATTCAGGACGAGCAGGAGGTATATTCTTATTATTATCTGATTGCAACTTTATTTACATTCTAAGCTATGAATTGTATTGTTAACTAATATGTGTCTTTTACAAGCAATGAATAAATAAGCGGAATAAACCAATTTAAAACTTTTAGGTTAGGGTAAGGTAGTTTACCGTAAAGTGGGACTTATTTATTGCCACTGAGTGTGTTGTGTAACATTACAGTGATGTGGTCAATGAATATTCCTAACTAATATGTGTCTTTCACAAACAATGAAAGCCCCACAAAGCTTGAGTTTGTGTCGCACATGCTCTTAGTCGGAATAAACAAATTTAAAACTTTTAGGTTAGGGTAAGGTAGTTGACAGTAAAGTGGGATTATTAATTGCCGCTGAGTGTGTTGTGTAACATTACAGTGATGTGGTCAATGAATATTTCTAACTAATATGTGTCTTTCACAAACAATGAAAGCCCCACAAAGCTTGAGTTTGTGTCGCACATGCTTAGTCGGAATAAACAAATTTAAAACTTTTAGGTTAGGGTAAGGTAGTTGACAGTAAAGTGGGATTATTTATTGCCGCTGAGTGTGTTGTGTAACATTACAGTGATGTGGTCAATGAATATTCCTAACTAATATGTGTCTTTCACAAACAATGAAAGCCCCACAAAGCTTGAGTTTTGTGTCGCACATGCTTAGTCGGAATAAACAAATTTAAAACTTTTAGGTTAGGGTAAGGTAGTTTACCGTAAAGTGGGACTTATTTATTGCCGCTGAGTGTGTTGTGTAACATTACAGTGATGTGGTCAATGAATATTCCTAACTAATATGTGTCTTTCACAAACAATGAAAGCCCCACAAAGCTTGAGTTTGTGTCGCACATGCTTAGTCGGAATAAACAAATTTAAAACTTGTAGGTTAGGGTAAGGTAGTTTACCGTAAAGTGGGACTTATTTATTGCCACTGAGTGTGTTGTGTAACATTACAGTGATGTGGTCAATGAATAGTGTTCCTAACTAAAGTCCCTCAATGCTTAAGTTAAGAACCTGTTATCTTTAACCAGCCTTATGGTCATAAGATTTAAAACTACCAAAAACCCTAACATTCACATTTTTTCACATTGTAAAAATTTTGATTTTCTCTAATAAGATTGAAATGCTTGTTTCAGGAAGAAAGAAGTAGCCCCAGCTCTGGACCACGATTTGGATTAGTTTGGCCGCTGTATATACCTTATTAACTCTATTATTTTTATTGTTTTATAATAATTTTCTAATAAACATTATATCTATCTAGAACAGTTAATTTTGTTTTAATTCTTACCAGCACACTTCTCTGTAATTTACTTAGTTCCAAAAGATGAAAGTAAAGTAAAAGTGTAAAAAATGGTTATACAATTTTTGTTTATGTTCTAATTATTTTAACAGTTTTATGGATTAAAATATATTTTTTAATATAGATAAAATTATATTTTATGACATGCTGAGTGCCAATTTTAAGATGCAAAGTAAAAAAATATATCATTGGGCAGAAAATACTTTTTATATAATCAAAAAGAAATGGTATATAGCCAGTAAAGTGAAATAATTTTCAGTGTAAAAATGAAATACGTTATCAAATGGTGGTTGATAAAAAAACTTCATTTACCTAATAAAATTACTTAAGAAATATTCCTCTGAATTAATATTTTATATTCTGACCATTTTTATAAAAACATTAATTATACTAGATTATGAAAAAGTTATAAAAAGCAGTAAGTATTGAACTAACAATTCCATGTTTCAAGCTATTGTGTGGTTTTGGTTATTGAATTTACTCAGTTACATAACATGAAAATTAGGTGGAAAATGTAAACTAATTTTTAAGACATGTAACCAAGTAAATTTTGATTAATTTTGCCAATAAAATTCAAAATAAAAAAAATCATCCTTGGTTCAGTCAATAATTAACCTTGTTTATACCTTGGAACTTGAAATTTCCCTTGAAATCTGCTTGGTTTTGAGCTTGGAACAGGCAATAAAATTCAAGGCTGTTTCAACCCAAACCTGTGTTGACTTGGATGCTTGAATCAGGCCTGATTTCGCCTTGATGTCTTGAATATTATTCCTTAATTCAAGGTTGGTGTCTTGAAAATTGAGGGTCAATTCAGCCAACAAACAACCAAATTTTGCTATGTGGGCAGCTGACAAGCTATTTGCATGGACTTTTTTGTGTTGTATTAACTTATACATTTATTTTCAACCAACATTTGATTTCAATTTTGTCAAGAAGTTTAACTTTTTTATAATTTTTAATACCATTGTACCTTACAATTTGTTAATGCTAGTTATTATTGGAAAACATATTCAACACAGTTATTTTTAAATATTACTAGCTGGCCCGACAGACGTCATCCTGTCCTATGCTTTTATGTCAAATGCTTGTTCATTTTCAAGATCCTGGTTGAAGTTCGTTCGCTACGCTCACTCACCTTTAGGTTGGAGCTCGTTCGCTGTGCTCACTTGCCTTCAGGTTGAAGTTCGTTCGCTACGCTCACTCACCTTTTGGTTTCAAATTAGCTGTTGCCATAAATTTAAAAAATATAATTGTGCTGCACCCTGTTGGTAAACTTATTAACTTTTAATGCTATTGAACATCACAGAATCAAATTGCTTAGTTAAACCAGCTGTTAATTTTCTTTAATTCCATTTAAATATGAGTACTCATAAGGTTAACATGGGAAACTCCAGAGCCACTGGGGCGGAGCCCTTTTGACGGATCTGCACCAATCTCCATTGACCTGGCCTATTGTATGACATGTATACTTAATGGCAATAAACTATTTGAATTTGAATTTGAATTTGAAACTTTACACAAACCATCATTGAATAATGCTTAATAATGCCTGAAAGTTTCATTACAATCTGTCGAGCGGTTTCGGAGTCCATAAAGGACAAACATACAAACAAACCTACATTGGATTTTTATATATATAGATAATTTGTAAGTTTAAAAATATATTTTGATCTAATTAATTCTTTCTTGGAAAAATTGGATTGATGTGTTTATCGGGTAAATTAACAAGTTAACTAATTTGCGTCAAATTTGTCAAAAACATGCAACATAACAGAAATAATCCAATTAAAATCTCATGTTAAAGAGAGCCAAACTCTACAGTTGATTCAGAGGCGGCCCTACATAAAGGTGAACAAGGCAGTGCCTGGGCCCCGCACAGCTGTACTCCAGGAATTAAGAGAGGCCCATTATTAAACTTTGCCTTGGGCCCTGCAATCCCTAGGGCTGCCACTGAATTGATCACCTACTTTGATATTCTATCAGTAGATATAAATATTTAAAAAGTGAGTGAAATTATTATTAAGAGAACTTACCAATGCAGTTTCTAGGGCCAGCACTGAAGGGTACATAGGCGTAGGGGTGCCTGGACTTGACCCTGTCAGGTAAGAAGTTATCAGGGTTGAATTTCTCTGGTTCAGGGCCCCACTGGTCAGGGCAGCGGTGGACATGGAAAATCTCCAGGTTCAAAACTGAACCAGCTGGCAACACGTAGTCTCCTGGAATACAAACAGGTAATTCGAATGTATTTTATTGTATTGTATTTATTGCGAGAGGGGTGGACTCCAGGGTCCTAGGTAATTAGATACTAAGGTCTTTTGGGAGTAAAATTATCATATTATTTCACACCAAACTTAAAAAGGAAACAAACAACTGGTCTGCCTGTTATTAACAATTATTCCTTATGAAACTGTCCATGTTACTACTAGATAAATCTATACAGGATGTTTTTTTTAAAAACTTGCATCTTTATTTATGTAAAAACCGCAATAGATAGAAATATGCAGTTTGCGGGAATCATCTATTGACGTAGGGGGCCCAATTGTTTTGAATTCAACGTTACATTCACATTCCCCCCCTTTCCCCCCTGCCCCCAACTTAATTTTTTTTTAATAGCAAGGTACCCCTTGTGACATATCAAATGAAAGAGCATGAAAAAAGAAAATGTTTGATGAAAAAAAAAATTGAAAATCGGTTCATAAATTTGCGAGATATTAAAAAACAAGTTATGGGTAGGGGAAAAGGGGGGGGGGGATTATCTCACAAATTCATGAGCCGATTTTAATTTTTTTCACCAAACATTTTCTTTTTTCATGCTCTTTCTTTTGATATGTCACAAAGGAGTAACTTGCTATTAAAAACAAATTAAGTTCTATCTATTGCGGTTTTTACATAAATAAAGATGCAAGTTAAAAAAAAAAACACCCTGTATATTCAATACACAAAGGGGTTTTCTGTAACATCCCTTTTCTTAAGCTGTCCTACTTAACCGATTTTTTTCTTTTGATGTGTCATTTAAAGGTTATGGATCCAGCACACCAGCGAATGGTAATGAAAAAGATGATTTCCTTTAGGGCTTTACCCCCCTTGCGTTTGGATTATTTCTAGAGTTTACTTTCACCAGATCCAGATTTGCTGACCAACTTTTCTCATTAACGGTTTGAACACAAATTGTAATCTAACAGCTAATCATTCAGTTAAATGTTTAACCTCAGTCAGATTGTAAACAAGAGACAAACTAATTAGTTTATGAAAATGGGTTTAAAAAGGCTACTTTTTTGATAATTGCAACCTAACTGAGGTAGAATCACTCTCCAGTCTTTATAGCGAAGATCTAGATCTTTAAAAACAATTAAAGAAAGGTGGTGGTTTAAGGTGGTGCATAATTATTTTTTACCTTAGAATTAAGTTTGAAACCCTAATACAAGCACAATTTGCTCCCTCACAATTTGCAAAAATTGGTTCCCTCGTTAGAACACATTTATTTTAAGTTAGTAGCACGAATCCTAGAAAAATACCGGTATCGATCATAAACATAATAAAATGACGTTGTCGGCCCGAATCCTATACTAATGGCATTAACATATGTTTTGGCAGTTCCATTTATGTGATGTTAAATAATGTTTATTTTCAGGTCGAAAACATCTTTTGTTTATGTTTATGATCCATATCGGGTTTTTTCTAGTATTCGTGGTTTGTAGCTAAAAAAGCTAATCACAATAACTACAGCATATTAGGGAAAATTTAAACACTAGGGAGAATGTTAATCCAGAATCACAAGAATTCCATATTGGTTATCTTTGTCAGTGGCGGTCCCAGGATTTCTTTTCGGGGGGGTGGGGAGGGATGACCACCTTATACTCACCAAGTTGTGTGTCCTGTGTGACCTTACGCCCTATGAAGGGCACACTAGGGAATAACCTCAATGCCTCCTTGATAACTCTCTCCAGGTATTTCATCTCGTTCAGGTCTCGTGTGGTCGCCCCACGGTCGGAGTCTCCAAAAATACTGTCCAACTCTTCTAGCACTTTCTCCTGTAATCCATATTGTAAGTTGGTAAAAACTATAAATTTTTTGAAAATAAGAGGTATACAATCAAGAATTTCATTTTTTTACTAGAACTTATAATATATACAAAAACTTACCGGTATATGTTTCATTCGTTCCCTATATTTCAATACTTTTTTGAAAACTTAAAAAACCAAGTTTATAGCCATTATAAGAGAAAAGAAAGGGCTCTCATTGTAAACGCACCATTCACCGAAATAAAAATCTTGAATTGGGATAAATTAAAATGAGAAAAGAGTGATGATATTTTATTGCTGGTACTGGTAATGATATCTAAAAGTAAAGTCCAGATGTGTTGTAAATAGATGTCCAAAGCATAAGATATGTTCAAATTACATACCTGGTGCTCAGGGTGAGATCCCAACAGGAAGAGTGACCAACAAATTCCAGCTGTTGTTGTATCGTGGCCCTAGAACATAACAAATTTAGTATTATTTTGTATGAAAAAATTATGTATCACAATAATATTAATTACAGACAAAATCTTATAATCTTTTTTTAATAATAACTAACTTTTGAAGATTGGCATAAATTATAGTTTCAATACCTTTATCAACTGTATAATGTCTGAAGTTTGTATTTACTACACTATACATATTTATACAAGTTTAACAAAAGGATTTTGTATTTCGAACTAAGGTTTAGCACTGGCTGTCAGTTATTTTTTAAGCGATGAAATAAAACCTGTCAAATTCCGTCTTATTGGTACTGCTTACATCAACTTAGACATAAAATTATACAACAACAAGTTTAAACAAACCTCAAACATAAAAGTGTCAACTTCTTCTCTGATTTCGCTTGTGTTCAGTTTGGATCCTTGTTCCGATGCTTCTAACAGCAAGTCCAGGAAAGCCATACTCTTTTTCGTACCTGCAGAAACATTATATTGATTGTGATCGCTAGAATTAATAGCATGAGTTTAACGGATTTTTTCTTCATTGAAAAGTTTGATGAAACTTAATTAAGTTTATGCTACCTTGATGAAATTGTAGAATACAGACTTGAACTCACCAATATCATTTTCTTCTTCACAGATGGATGCACCTGGATCTTGCATTTTCAGAGCTCTTGTAATTTGACGTTCCTTAATGACCTACGAATCCAGAATTATGTTCTATTAATCATATAAAACGAGAATAATTTTATTTGACGTAGTAATAATTACTGTAGAATTATTTTATTTCAGACTAATGTCAAGAACTTTTTATTTGGCAATTCAGATATTACTATACAGTACTGTAACTGTAGTTGCGTTTCATTTGTTGGAAGCATACATCAACTGATAGGCCTATTTGGGCAGGTACATTATTAGGCAGATATTTTTATTTTTGTTTCCAGTCCTTACAGTATTTCAGAGCCGCTACTACTCCATTGTAAAGGAATGAGGCTACCAGTCTCTTAATTTTATTTTCATTGCAAGACCTTTCAGACTTTTTTAAAGATTAGCAAGACATTTCAGTTCACTAAAAGACCATGGTTAAACAATGACATACAATATAGTAGGGTATCTAAAAATATGTTGTAGTGCCCTTAACTTACGCTTTAACACGTTAGCTGCCAAGGCTATTTTCGGGGGGGATTGTTGTATTGCCAACTACATGCTCACGTAATTTTTTAGTTATATGATGTTATTTATACTTATCTAGGTTAGTTATAATGTTATCTGTCCAAATACATATAAGAAAATGGCGGAATAAGTGTCACCCCGATCGGGGTGACAGTGATTTTTTTCAGTCAAATTTTGCTGGAAAATATCGCTGTCACCCCGATCGGGGTGGCACTGAAATTCGACCATTTGGGATATATTTCATTTTGTTCGGTTGGCAGTAGCGGCATTTTGGCGCGTGAAGACAACAACACCTGCTTATTACTCTACTGGGTTATGTTTACTTCTTCTTGTGTTGTACTTTTTAGCTATTTATAACCTAGTTTTCGTGTTGGTTTTCATAGTGTGTTGTGGCTTTTGTCCAATATGAGTGACAATCTTGGTGATGATGATATCGAACGTTTTTTGGGTTTACCAATGTCAAGTGAACTAGATTATGGAAATCTGAGTGATGGTTTTTTGGGAGGTAGTGCTAAAGACAGTGATGAGTCAGACGGGGACGACGAAATGGACATCGACCCGGACTTTCAACCTACCCTCCTGTCAATGTCAGAGAGCGAGCACAGCAACAATGAAGGTGATGTAAATGAATACAATATGAATTTATATTCAGCAACAAACGAGACTGATACCCAGACTGAGAGTGTAAATGACCAGAATGATAGGGAAAGTATGAATGAGGATTTGGATGAGGGCGCAGGAGGGGATTATTTGAATGGTGATGTGTATGTTACCTTGGGCGAAAGGTACAAAAAACTCAAGAAAAAGGAGGATAAACTTAAAATGAAAAAAGAAGAAGAAGACAAATGGAAGTTGCCAGAAGGTAGACAAAAAAATATTGTTTTTGGTGGTAACTCAGAATACAAATTTAATTTACCAAGGACTGCACAGCCGATTGATTTTTTTTCATCTTACCTAAACGATGAAATCCTGGCGGTTATGGTTGATGAGACTAACCGAAATGCAGCGCAGGTGCTTCAGAAAATAAGATTAAATCGTAGTAGTAGACTAAGAAAATGGCGGGATACTAACGTGGAGGAAATGAAAAAGTTTTTGGGCCTTTTATTATACATGGGCCTTGTTCCCATGCCCAGAATAACGGATTATTGGTCCAGGCGACTGCTGTACCGAAACTTGGTTGCAAATCGAGCTATGAGCCGAAACCGATTTCAACTTCTACTTCGCTTCTGGCACTTCAACAATAATGACAACCTTGATCAGGAGGGCCGTTTGGCCAAGATTTTGCCACTTGTGTCCCATCTCAATCAATGTTTCAAAAGAAACAAGAATCCTGGAGAAGATCTTGTAATAGACGAGAGTATGATTCCGTTCAGAGGTCGTCTTATCTTCCGGCAATATCTTCCCCAAAAAGCCCATAAGTATGGTATAAAAGTTTTCAAGGTTTGCGACACGACCGGCTACACATTGAAGACAAAAGTGTATATGGGTAAAGGAACCGGCATCGATGAAGGATCGTCCTTGGCAATGTCTGTTGTCATGGACCTCATAAATGACTATTTGGACAAGGGACATACTTTGTATATCGACAATTTTTATACGTCTCTGGACCTGGCCAATGTTTTTCTCACCAGACAGACTCACCTTGTGGGTACAGTAATTGCAAACCGTGCATGGTTTCCACACAAAAAGACAATCCCACCAAATTTGACCCTTGGTACAGGAGAAATGAGCTGCCTGGAGTACCCAAATGGCACGACGTACACCAGATGGGTTGACAAGAGGGAGGTACGCATTATGTCAACGAAACACACTAATGTGTATGAAGACACGGGAAAGAGGAGTCGAAATGGTACCCCTATACTGAAGCCTCAGGTAGTTGTCCATTATAACAAAGCTAAAATGGGCATCGATTTGTCCGATCAGATGTCTTCTTACAGCTCGGCTGTAAGGAAATCGATGAGATGGTATCACAAGGTAGCGGAGGAAATGCTCCTTGGAACTGCTGTTGTCAACGCTTGGCTTGGGTACAAAGAGGCTGTAGGTGCCACTGGCCAAGCAGCAAAACGTCATGTGTACTCCATCACAACTTTCAGAGAGAAAGTGGCTTACGCTCTTCTGGGCCTTCGTGACGAAGAAATCGATCCCGTTCGAGTGACTGGCCACCATCATCTAACGGAGACAGCCCAATTCGAAGGAGAAGGCCGAAACAAAAGGCGGGTAAGACGTCACTGCAAGATCTGCTACCAACAAGCTCAGAATGCAGGCGGGCGTGAGACTGCTAGGAAATCGAAGAAAGTAAACACATTTTGTGAAACTTGCCCCCAGAAGCCGTTTTTGTGCAAGGACTGTTTTAGGAACACACACAAGTAGGCCAGTCAACTTTTTACTTTTCTAAAAGCAGTTGTCATGTTTTTATTCATTATTATACATATATTTAGTTTTTTTTAGCAATGTAATATTGTTTACAGTTTGACATAAAAGATTTCAAAAATATGTTTGTTTTCTTTCTTATCTGTTTTTCATCAGTATTACCCAAATACTTACTTTTATGTTCAGGTTAGGGAAATAATTTCAGTCATAAGATACAAAAAACTCTTATAAAATATAAACACCAACTGAATAAGAAAAACGTTACGTCATTTTATGGTGCATATTTCAATAAAGAGTAGGTAGATAAAATTGTTGAAAAAAATAGCGTCACCCCGATTTCAGTACTTTGTGACGTAAGTTTGGAAATTTTATAAACATCAGAATGCAATATAACATTGATATCTAGTTAGCTTGGAGTATGTATTTATAAGCCACAATGTTTGACTGCCGTTGAACATCAAAGACTGTCAAATAGCGGCAAAGAAAAAAACCCTTACAAATTACAACTGTCGCCCCGATCGGGGTGACAGTGCTCACATACGAGCCAACTGGTGGCACCCCGATCGGGGTGACGTGGCAGCTAACGTGTTAAGTAATGGTAGCCTAATATTTTATTTTACTGGTTGCAGTATAACTTTTGGCAAAAAGTGAATATGTTGCATTAGTAAGTAGCCTACTATTATGTTTCTTTCTTGAAGTTAATGTATTAAATTGGAATTAGTTCATTTTTAACGAATTTCTCTATAGGGAAGTCTATTACCGTAGGTGGCACGGTACGACCTAGGCCTGGGGCCGATTTACTTTTTCATTTTGACCCAGAGGCCAAAAACACCCTTCGTTCAAATGTTTATAAATGAATCTTATATATATATATTATCTTTTTATATATAAACTAGCAGATTACCCGTCCTTCGTACGGGGTTGGCGTATGAGTATAAAATTATTATTGCAGTTATACTCGTGCTTTGCGTTTGCAATGGGAGAGGACACGGTTTAAGAAAATTTGGTGCTTTTAATTTATGGTATACTACAGTGTAGCACATCTACCATGGCTATAATGTACTACACCACTTCACCTAAACAATGGCAAAGTAAAGTTCTTATTGTGTATCACGGATTTTTGTTGCTGCTTGGTTCAAATTAGCTGTTACCATAAATTAAAAAAAAATAATAGTGCTGCACCCTGTTGGTAAACTTTATAACTTTATATTGAATATCATCTTTGACTATTAATCCAATAGTCAATGATATCATAGAACCAACTTTGTGAAGTTGAAACACATGGGAAACTTCAGAGCCACTGGGACAGAGCCTGGAAGTATTTTTGAGATAAAAATATGTCTATATGTTAATCGAGAACGTGAGGTATCATCATACCAAATTTTAGCCCATTCCGACCAGTATTCAATGCGTAACTGAACTTCAAACAAACAAACACACAAACATTCAGATTTATAATATAAGTAAGATTTATAATTTTGTTTGTTTACATACCTTTATAACTTTTACATACTTTTATAACTTTTTTCTCAAAAAGAAAAATACCCCCGCCGCAGCAAACCTGCAGACTAAGCGAATTTCCATTTGCCTCATTGTATTTACACTAAAATGCCTCTCTTTTGCTACTTCAGTTATTGCTAAGGCCAGTGCCACACTATTCTGTTTTGCCGGTCCGTTTAAACGGGACCCGTTTGGCGGGATGATTCAAACTCATGGGTGTTAATGGGTGCGGTCACATTGTTGCGGTTGTGGTGCGTCGACGGAATCCTGCTGCAGCGTAGCGGGGCGAACACATGCAGTTAATTAAAAGCAACCAAACCATCCCGTTTTGCCGCGCGTTTATCCCTACTCTTGTTCCTATCAACAGTGCACAGCATATGATGATTGTGCTCTTCACTCGAAGTATGTTGCGGTAGAGTAGGAAGGTGTGACAGGGTAATGTCAATGCAGTAAAAACGCATACCACTCCACCGAATCCTGCTAAACGGCATAGTGAGGCGCCGGCCTTCCTGGTCAGTATGTGTCTGATTACTAAAAGTGATGGTACTGAATATGCATGTAAATAACCCATTCTACTTCTTCCCTTCAGTGGCAAAATATACAATTAGTAACTTCAATTGTGTACTGTCAACTGCCTAGAATTTTTTTCTTGAGTAAGTGGGTTGTGTCCTTTGTGCTCTGTACCAAAGTCAGGGTGGAACTAACCTTGTTGGTAAAGCCGTGGAGGATGTCTAAACACTTCTTGTAGCGTTTGCCGTAGGAGGACATGTAGAAGGAGAAGTTAGGATGATACCAAGGTCTCAGGAGTCTATGAATGGTCAGCTCACTGATTCTACACATTAACCAAACGATGATTTAATAATTGTAAGCATTTTAGTTAATGTTAGGAATAATTATTGTTTGTACGAAAAAGGGTTGGATAGAGTAATTTAAAAAATGTATTTCTAGATGTTTATTTAGACTTAGTTTATCTAGGAATATTATTTTTTTTTAATCCTTAATGTAGAGTTTAAATTAATAAACTGCATTCATCTATATTATTTAAAATGATAATAAATACAGCAAAACTTTAAGAAAGATTGAAGCTGAGACACTTCCCTTTACCATTGAGGATGCCTCATAGCATGGGCGAAACGTGTGGTTTTGTACATATTGTTATTGACTTGACACGGCTCTCACCGGAAGACCGAGAATTTAGTGATGACACCGGCCGCTTATGCCTACGAATGAAGATTTTAGACAGATTTTTCGAGAACTATGCTATAATTGGTTCATGTCATATACTGTGGTTGTTTACTGAAAACCCCGGAAAAAATACACCAATCTACTAAAGATATTTTACTGCCACAGGACCAAGTTGTCTACAATAGATTGGCTCTGTAGCAATAAACTATAACAGTCTTATTAGAGTAATGAATTTAGAGTATCGGTACTTACTCGTAGATAGCCGACACATAATCTGACTTGTTCCCATCTTGTGCATTGATTGACACACCCATTGCAGTTTCTGTAAAAAAGTGCAATTGTTAAAAGTCAAATTTATAGATGTACTGTACTTTTTAAACAATGTATAACAGTTTATTAAGATTTTATGGTTCTGGACCAAGGGAATCATCTGTTCTTGATCATAGAGCTTTAGATATATGGCATTGGCTAAAAAAACAGCTAGTCTTAGTCAACAGCAGCTTATTAAGCAGTAAAGCTACTCAGGTCACCTAACTTGTTATATGCCCATCCTGCATATTCATATCAGATTAAACTAGGGTGGTCTACCGTTACACTTTAGGAGTACAGCATATGACAGGGCCTTTGTTGTAACTGCCTGCCGTCTTTGGAACAACTTACCTTTATCCATCAAAATGCTTGATAGTCGTCCTCGGTTCGTGGCGGCACTGAAAAAAATGTACTTTGAGCGTATAGCCTCGGCTGGTGCGTCCTAGGACTGTTTTGGCACTTGCGTAATTGCTGACTGAGTGTGTGAGACTTTTTTGTTGTTGTTAGACATTTTGTTGTCTTTGTCAAAAAAGTATTGTTTTTGTGTAAATAATGTGTTAAATTGTATTTTATACTTTATATTTATAATTATGTATGCAGGTTAAGTGTAAGAAAGGGCCATGTGGCCCTAACTTTGCCTGTTGAAATAAAGGATTTTCATTTCATTTAATTTCATTTCATTTCATTTCATTCTTATGTATGCTGAAATACTGTTCATTAATTTAATTCAATCAGATGTTTTCATAAAAACAATGTTTGTTTACTTGTTACTTTTGTGATAAATGTTTGACAATAAAAAGATTCTTCATTCATATATTTTATTCTATTTTAAATGTAATAACGTTAACTTACATAATGGCGCTGCACGGACATGAGGAATATGACAATGACGACACATCATCTACATTAACAGTGGAACAACCTACTACACATAGTTTAACTCATTTCAAGTTCGAGAAGTTTGATGCTACCAAAGAAACATGGAAGTACTACTACCAAAGGTTTGAGTTGGAAATAATTGTTTGTGGGTTACAACACAATCAAGAAGCTAGGAGAATTTTACTTCTGAAATGGATTGGTGCTGAACATTATAGAATTGTGGTTGATAACTTTTATCCAACACCTATTTTAACAGTAGATTACGAGGAAATTGTTGAGTTTATTTCAAATTTCTATAAACCAAAAACATCCTATTTGGCCGAAAGACTAAAATTTGGAAAAATCGTGAAGAACAAAGATCAATCCATAAGCATATTTGTAAACAATTTGAGAGCTGGTGCCACGGAATGTGAGTTTAAAGATACACTTGACGAAAGACTGCGAGACCAGTTCTTATTGGGCTTAAATGATCCTAAAATGCAAGAAGAGCTCATCAGAAAACATCCTGAGGAAAAAGCAAGACTTGTCGACATCGTTAAAGACGCCTACCTCATGGAAATGGCACATTCTCAAAAACAACAAATAGAAACACTTGGGACATTTTCATGTGATGCACAGGTAAATAAGGTATGGGCTACACGAACTACTAAACCTTTATACAAAAGGGACAGTACTAGAATCAACTTGAATCCTGAGTCACAGTGTTTGAGGTGTGGGTTAGCAAAACATAAAGCAGGTGAGTATTGCAAGGCAATGAATATTCAATGTAGAGCTTGTGGGAAAATGGGGCATTTTGAACGAGTTTGTCTGAAATCCAATAATGTCGTCATTGAGAAAAATCTTTCAAGACGTTATGTCAAACAAATTGATAACTTTGCTGGTATGAGTGATTATAGTGGCAATGTAGACTTTTTCCGTAAAAATAATGACGGATGTCCTGACATATCTGATGAACTAGGAGCTGAGCCTCCCGGTTTGGTAAAAAACATAAGTCAAATTAATAATGTAGAGAAATTTTGTTACGTTGTTAATTTAACAATAAATAGGGTTCCAATAACGATGGAATATGACACTGCTGCTGCAAGAACTATAATTAGTAAATCTACGTGGAAACAAATTGGTGAACCGGCACTGACTCCTACGGAGGAGCTGGGTGCTTATCCGTCATTTAGAATACCTATGCTTGGCGAGACTAAGGTCGCTGTTTTGTTAGGTTCAACTACTTTGCAATTAAGTGTTGCTGTCACTGACAGTGTTTCAGGGACACCTTTGCTTGGTAAAGATTGGATTGTAGCATTTAATCTAGATCCTAACTGTGAACATGTATGTAAGGAAAATTCTTATAGCGTCAATCATATTAACACGGACATTATGGACAAAGAGGGGGAGAAACGTAAGATATATATAAAGAGTTCAAAGACATAATTACCAATAACCTAGGAACAGTGAAAAATTTCAAAGCTAAGGTTAGAGTAGCTAATGATGTACAATTGCCAATACACAAACCGAGACCTGTTCCGTTCGCATTACACAGTGCAACTAGCAAGGAACTAGATCGTTTAGTGTCCTCAGGGGTCTTAGAACCTGTGGATCCGGCTACTACTCCGATCCTTTGTGCTTCTCCTTTAGTTGTTGTACCGAAGTCTAATGGTGAGGTACGATTATGTGCAGATTTCAAGGTATCAATCAACCCTCATTTAATCGATGACGAATACTGCATCCCTACGTTTGAAGAAACAGTACTTAAGTTGAATGGTTCAAAATTCTTTTCAGTTATTGATTTGAAGGATGCGTATCTACAGATTCCAGTGGACGAAGAATCAAAAAAAATATCTAGTGGTAGCGACACATAAAGGATATTTTACCTTCAATCGATTACCTTTTGGCATTAAGACTGCACCTAAGATTTTTCAAAAGCTGATGGACCAATTATTAGTTGGTACCGATAATTGTGCGTGGTATTTTGACGACATATGTGTGGGCGGTAGAAGTGGACCAGAACACATTGATAGGCTCAAAACAGTTTTAAATATATTGAGGAGAGCAGGACTATGCACGCGTGAAGATAAACTACAGCTTTTCAAACAAAGTGTGACTTATCTTGGGCACAAAATTAGTGCTCTGGGTATTCAGCCTGTTGAAGATCGTGTTGAAGCTATCAAGAAACAACCCCCACCAAAGAACGTTTCTGAGCTTAGATCATTTCTTGGATCTGTGAATTACTATTCAAGATTTATTCCAAATTTGCAATCTCTTTGTTTTCCTTTACACAGACTTTTGCACAAGAACTCAACTTGGGCCTGGAATAGTGACTGTGAGGATGCATTCAACCATATTAAGAGCAACATTTCAAACAATATGGTACTTGTACATTATGATCCTAATCTTCCACTAATCCTTGCAACAGATGCTTGCAATATTGGATTAGGAGCAGTTCTCCTTCATCGTTGTCCTGATGGCAGTCAGAAACCAATTGCAGCCGCTTCAAGAACATTAAATTCAGCAGAACAGAACTATTCTTCTATAGATAAGGAAGCACTTGCCATTATCTTTGGTGTTGAGATCTCTATGGTAGACATTTCACTCTTTTGTGTGATCATAAACCACTTGAACGAATCTTTGGGGCAAAGCAGCCTATACCTAAACATGCCGCTTCCAGACTTGCAAGATGGGCTATTATCCTCAGTGGATACGACTACGATATAAACTACAGGGCTGGAAAAGATAATGTTCTGGCAGATTGTCTAAGTAGATTACCTTTAGAAGGAAGAACAAATATTGATACGTATCAGACGCTTGGTGAAGTAAATCAAATAAGATCTATGAGAATTGAAGATTTACCACTTACAAAACGAACGCTTCAAGATAACACTCACAGAGATGATGAACTGAAACACATTATATCCTATTGTGTCAGGGGATGGCCCGATCGAAGTTCAATTCGGGACAATTTGAAGATATTCTATGACAAGAGACATGAACTATCTTATGAAGAGGGGATTTTATTGTGGCAAGAAAGAATATTAATTCCCAAGTCCCTTAGAGGAGACGTTCTTAGTTACCTCCACGTTTCACACCCAGGAATAGTTGCCATGCGCTCTTTGGCGAAGTTGTATGTGTACTGGCCAAAAATAGATGATGATATTGAAAACTTAGTGAAAACTTGTACAAGATGCCAAACATTCAGGAAAAATGATATCGAAACGCCACTCAATTCATGGAATATACAGGAAAATGCATGGGAAAGATTACATATTGATTTCAAAGGACCTTTTGACGGATACATGTGGTTAGTGGTAATAGACGCATATTCTCGATGGTTGGAAATATTTCCAATGAAAAACGCTACAAGCAACACTGTGATAAGACGACTTCGTGAACTTTTCTGTAGACATTTAAAACAGGACTTGTGAAACAAATTGTTACTGACAATGGAAATCAGTTTGTCTCAGAAGAATTTAGAGAGTTTTGCCGCAATAATAACGTGATTCACATCAGAACCACTCCTTACCACAGTCGTTCCAATGGTTGTGTTGAACGAGTAATTCAGACGTTTCAAAACAAGTATCTCATGACTGACATAAATGATCACGAGCAAAGACTCCATACACTTTTGTTCTCATACAGGACAACTCCACATTCATCGACTGGACGGACACCTGCTGAACTTTTCCTGAAAAGAAACCCAAGAACTTTTATTGACACCCTAAGACCGGACGTGAAGGAAAAGATGAGACAGTCGTCAGAACGCCAAAAGTTTTATCATGATATCCACTCTAAACGTAAAGACTTTAATGCAGGTGATAAAGTTTGGGTGAAACGGAATCCAAATGAAAATTGGAGAGAAGGGGTAGTGCTAAGGAAAACAGCACCATTGTCATACAGAGTGAACATTGATGACAAAGAATACAGGCAGCATGCTGACCATTTAAGAACACGTCAACAAATACAGCCTCCACAACAATCTCTAACACAACAAACTTCAACACGCCAACAAATACGGCCTTTGCAACAATCTTTTCAACAACAACTAACTTCACCTTCATCTGGTACTACAAACCAGAGAAAATCAAGTCGGAATATAAGAAAGCCAATGTATTACCATAATGAATATTAGTTCTCCAGGCATTTAAAGAAGGAAGGGGGAAATGTTATGTATGCTGAAATACTGTTCATTAATTTAATTCAATCAGATGTTTTCATAAAAACAATGTTTGTTTACTTGTTACTTTTGTGATAAATGTTTGACAATAAAAAGATTCTTCATTCATATATTTTATTCTATTTTAAATGTAATAACGTTACACACTTTAGACGCATAAATGAGCGAAGCATTATTTAAAGATTGACAATGGCTAAAGCAGCTAACAACCTACAATATGTTCCCTTTCAACAGATTCACCGTTTGTTTGCCCGATATTATTTAAGTTCTAAAGAAAGATAAATTTATCTGATAGTTCATAATCGGTCTAGTGAAAATGGTGGATCCAGAAGCAGGCCTTCAAATGTCTTAACTCTTGATAGGCCTACGTAGGACAAACCTAAGCCATATTCTGAAGATCCAATGTCCACAACAGCTTGGCGATGACAGTTAGTGCAAGTGTAAAATTGTTGTGCATCTAATTCATGTTGGAATTGATTAGCTAATTGCCTATCATTATCAGCTTCTTCCGCCACTGCTTCATCTGGTTCTTCTTGTTCATGACGCCACTCTCTTACAATATTTCCATTATTGGTGCGACGGCCAATATTACGACGTGGCCTTTGAGGCATGCTCAAAACAAATATAGCAAAACTGTTACTTCCATTGATAAACTGTTACATTCCAACTTTAACCTAGGATGAAAGTAAACATTGAAATGTAAACAAAACAGTTATAAACAAAACAATTAACATATGTTTTACTTATCTATATATTAATACACAAGCAGTTTTCTTTTCACAGTCATAACTCGATAACGGTTTGACGGATTTTAAAGTTTGAGGTGTCAAATTAAAGGTATTTTTGCGTAGATCTGCAAATACGTCTCAGAATATTTATAAAGGGCACCATTTAAGTACACTTAAGGGCTAAAGTTTTGAAGGCGGCGCTATCTGTTGAAATTTGATCAAACTCATTTCCCTTTGTTTACAAATAACTTATGGACGTAGTTTGAAATAGTTTTTAAGGTTAACCACAGACTGCAGGACTTAAAACTTCCAGAGCAAAGCTGGAATTTATTATTTTGTTTCAATCTGTTAACTAAGTCTGGTTCATAATAAAGAGTTCCCTATCAATACTAGACAACAAAGTGTTTAAGAATAAATATTTAATAAGTATTTAATTCTTTTTGCCTACGGTTAAATTGATTTACCTTACATCGTATTTTACTGATTATCATGTAGTTACAGTTCGATGTGATGAAGTGAATGTTTAAAAGTGATTATTCACTGGGCAGTTATCCATTACATTACCATATTATCACGTAATTTAGGCCTACAATGTGTATCAAACTTTCAATTACTTTATAGTGTTTTCTGTTGTTTGGTTAACTTTCTTATTTCATTTCAATGTAAAATCATATGCCGCCAGTACGACTAAGAACTGTGAGTGGCTGGAGGGAACGCGAACATGACCGCTTGCATCAACCTCTCAATTGAACATTTGATGGGTACATAGTGGTAGTACCACCGTTGTGATAGTCCAATCTCGGACAAATGAATGTTAAAGGTTTACATTGTAGTGGTTTATATATTTTTAAGCAAGAGAAGACTGGCCGAGACAGTTAAGTTTGTACTCTTTGTTGCCATAAATGAAAGGTTTGTTTACCTCAGTTGTGTAATTCACCACAATAAACTTCAGGTTCTTATTGGAAACTCCCAATCTGAAAATAGGACTGTGAGACTTATATCCAGAAATTATTTGGATAAAGTTCGTCAATTCAGTTCTGCCTTTACCATGGTCAGCTACAAAGCTCATTAAGATGAGAAAGTTCCACAGGGGATCTGCAATATTTTAAGATCCGTGACACGTTTTACCACCGAGTGGGTCCTCTAATTCCTCAAGAAGGTGATGATACTAAATACGCACAGATATATAAGTAAGCACGGCAATGTCGCTAGAACCCAATGGAGAACTAAGTACAATTAACAAAAGTGCAATAAAAATATGCGGGAAATAGGGTCACAATGCCACCCCATTTGCAAATCTTTGAAGACTGTGGCAGACATTATGTAGGGAAGAGAGCTCCGAGGAGTCAAGTGAGATTCTCATGTACATAATAACAGAAGTGTCTTCCCTTGCTACAATGGTGCTACCGGTGAAGATTTCGCAGCAATTTTTAAAACTGAAAACAAAGCACCACCTGGCCAAATAAATCGTATAGTTTTTTCCAACACTAATAATGTTAAACGCGTATCCATTATAGATCTGTCGTTAGATCCACTTGCTTACCCTCTTATGTTCCCAACCGGAGACTTGGGTTAGGGCCCCTAATTTAAATACGCCTAAAACAGAACACATCAAAGAAATAATTTAACAATGCTAGAATAAGAGTAGCGATGGTTGGCGTCAATAGAGGAATTGAGCTACATTATGTCAAAAGCTCACTTTACAGTGTGTGGTTGACATCTACGTGCTCATAGAGTGCACCCGCCTACTATACATAAGAGATAACCAAAGCAGTATGAGAATGAATGTAAATTTAAATATTGTAGATTGCTTTTATATTTTTTACATCATAATATTTTTATATTTCTATAATCAGTCATATAAATTTTAGAGTGACTCTTTTTTTAAGGTCTTGCTGTTTAAGTTTTTTGTTTATTTTTTTATACAAGTTTCAGTTTTGCTCGATTTCGAGCAACAGGTTATCTAGTTTAAATGAAACTAGATAAACCCATATGTCATAAACCCAATATAATTTTTCTTTCAACTTACATAAAAAATAACAAGCGAAATTGCGTGACCCGTAAAATAAAACCCAGAAGGAAATTTGCAAATATTTTTTACCATAAACATTGTGCTCAGTATTCTTTAGCTGTTGGCCAAATTTCATATCAATTGGTCAAGCCATTACATTCTGATGCTCTTACAAAGAAGTTACAAAGTGAGGGAAAGTTAGCTTTGCTCAAATAGTGCATCACTGTTTCTTAGGAATGATTGATAAGACTCCAGCAGTGCAGTCATCAGTTGATGGATCACCAAACCCACCACAAATGATGTCCAGAGCGCAGTGAGTGATGAAGGGGTACAGGTCCATGGGAGTGTCCTTTGGAGCCTTCTGCAGCTTCTCTACAAGGATGGACGACTTTTCAACAAACACCTCCAGGAAGATGTCCAGGATCTTGAAGTGGAAGGTGGGAGTGATGAGCTTACGGTGGGAATGCCACTTGGCTCCTGTGTGTCAGAAAAATGTTAGTACAAACAGGGGCGTCATTTGGGGGGGGGGGGCAGGGGGGCATTTGCCCCCCCTGGATCCTGGGCTAGAGGAAAAAATATGCTGTACTAGCCAATATAGAAATATTTTCTACTGTCAAATCCTAAAAAGCACAGCAGACAAAAATCTATACATTCTTGTACAGTAATTTGAAACAACAATTATTATTGTTTTATTGTCCTAGATAGCACATTTTGAGTTTACATAAATTAGTAGTTTTGTTATTCATCTACTTTTTCTGTTTGGTGCTGTACGATAAACCACTTCCTTCTAGTTTATATATACACTAGCTGTAACCCGCGGGCTTTGCCCCGTTTAACTTCTTAATTTTCAAGATGATCTCGTTTGCATGGCTCAATCACGTCCTGGTTGAAGTTCGTTCGCTACGCTCACTCACCTTTAGGTTGGAGCTCGTTCGCTACGCTCACTCACCTTTAGGTTGGAGCTCGTTCGCTGCGCTCACTTTCCTTTAGGTTAGCTCGTTCGCTACGCTCACTTGCCTTCAGGTTAGCTCGTTCGCTACGCTCACTCGCCTCCAGGTTGAAGTTCGTTCGCTACGCTCACTCACCTTTTGGTTGCAAATTAGCTGTTGTCATAAATGTAAAAGAAATAGTAGTGCTGCACCCTGTTGGTAATCCTTGTAACTTTAATGCTATTGAACATCATAGAACAGAACCAACTTGTTTAATTGAAACAGCTGTTAAGATTCATTAATTCCATTTCTCATAAGGTTAACATGGGAAACTCCAGAGCCACTGGGGCGGAGCCCGGAAGGATTTTTGGGATAAAAATATGCCTATATGTTAATCGGGAATATGAGCTATCATCATGCCGAATTTCAGCCCGATCCGACCAGTATTTTTTGCGTTCACTTGTCACAAACATACATCCATCCATACATCCATACATCTAAACTTTCACATTTATAATATTAGTATAGTAAGATAAGATAAAAATTCAGATTTTTTAGAAGCATTGCTTTGTCTTTAATTTATGAATTATTCAAGCATTAAAATTATACATGTGTATAAATTTTACGTAATTTATTTTGAACATTGTAGACTACCAATTTAATATAGTTAAATAGAACCTTTTGTACTTTTGTGTCAAATTATTTTATTGGTGATAAAATTTGATTTGCTTTTAAGTTCTTAAATTCTTGTATTTTGTTTAAAAACAAAAATAAACTGTTATAAACTATAGGCTATAAACAACCGTATTCATTGCTAAATGTTGTACAAGAGAAATTGGTCATGAATCTTATCTTATCATGTTCTTAACAAACACAATATTAATACATGATGGAACTATTGATCACGTTTCTTAGATGACTAACTTACCAACATAAAATTATTGTTTTTCTGTCTGTTGTCAATAATTCTTAGTTTCGTTAACTGTCTGCTTAGATTTAAATAAATTTTACTCATACTTGTTTTTTATTTGAAGTGCTTTTGACAATTAAAATAAGCTTAAACCCCTCTTTTTTGTTGCAAAACTGCTAAATTTTCCGGGGGGGAACCCCCGTACCCCCCTAATTTGGTGGGAATTGTTTGCCCCCCAAGGATATGGTGAAATGACGCCACTGAGTACAAATAAATATAGTACACAAATGTTGTTAAAAACTCATCAGTATTATATGAAACCAGATACAGTACTGGGAATTTAGCAGAACCATTGAATGTTTTTAGAACTGAATACCTAAATGCTTGAAATATTCAAAATTTTACTCAAGCTGAACAATAATAGTGATAATTATTCGTTTCTAATTACTGTCAACGTTGTTAACAATTAAAAATTAAATATTCTTTTGACAAAGTTCATAGATGTAGAATGTCCACCAATAAAGACAAATTTTATTTAATCTTTTTAAAAATTTGATTTCCTTTAGTTTGGTTTGATTTGGTCTGACTTACCAGTTCCAGTCAATAGACCTGTGCCTAGCCAAGGCTGCAGAAGAGTGTAAACATTAGACTTGTCTATGTGCATGGAACTGCTCATGATCAGCTGTTAACAGAAAAATTAATTGCTTAATGTAGAGTACCTGGGAACCGAGCTTTGCTCGTGGAAAATCATTAGTTTACTCTGAAAGCAGTTTAGTATTGCATATACATTAATGCACTCCCAAACTCCACAATGCTCACCTTGACTACTTCCCTCACCACTCCCAACGTCGTGGATCTGTGTGCCCTCCTTTCATATACCATTTTAGAATTGCAGATGCATAAATGCCACAGACAGTTTCCACACTCTGCACTGTTAGCCTTACTACTTCCTTCACCATTTCCTTTGTCATTGACATGTTTTCCATCAAAGGACCTGTGTCCCTTCTTTAAGCATTTTAGGATTGTAGATACCTTAATCTAATCCACATTAACAGTTCCCACACTCCAGACTGCTCACCTTTACTACTTCCTTCTCAACTTCCTACGTCGCGGGCCTGTTTTCCTCCCTTCCCATTGCATTTTAGGATTGGAGATACCTTAATCTAATCGTCCATAAACAACTCCCACACTCCGGACCGCTCGCCTTTACTACTTCCTTCAATACTTCCTACATCACGGACCTGTTTCCCTCCTTTCCCACAGCATTTTAAGACTGCAGATACCTTAATCTAAACGTCATCCGTCTTATACAACTCGTTCTGGAAGACAAATCCGACCACGGGTTACTTTTCAGAATGATGTATAGATTCCTTTTCTCCGTGGGGGGCTGTGTAGCGTCAGCTGATGACGTTGTCATAGCATTATGATTTAGTCTGGTTTTTGTTTTTATAGAGTATTGTACTGTAACAATTTTATGAAATTTATATTTTAAAATTTTGTCATTTAGTAAAGCAGTAAACTTATTAGTTTTGTCAAAATGTGATGTAAGCCTGCAACCACCGTGAGCTCTCTGATTGGCTGTTCATGGTTCAATCCTATGAAAAGATAGTCAGAGTGCCAACGTCACAACCGAGCTTATAAAAGGGGTCGGACCACGTGGCCCGGTCTCATTTGGTCAGTGTAGTAGTTATGTATAATGTGAATTGCTTAGTGCACATAGTCCCCTTTGTGGGTAAGTTTTAGCTTTAATTTTTACAATATTATTCTATTTATTGTTGTGAGTACGGAGGGTGCAGGCAGGCAGTGGTCTTTTTATTTAATAATTTTCAGCTTCATGTAAGAATTTACTTTAGCCCTTCAGGCAATTAAAAATATCTTTTGTTTTTAGGGTTCAACTACCAGAGAGGAAAATGTCAATAAATGGGAATGAAATCTAAAAGACTATTAATTATTTACAAGAACCAAAACCTTCATAGTAAAGTTTCTGTGTGAATACAACTATCCAAGAACACTGAAAAAATTTGTACTTGTTAGAGAAGACATTTTAAAGTAAAACGGTACAGTACACAAAATTTAACTCTTTTATTAAAACACTTTTCTGTTACTTATTTGGTCGTAATTTATTTGATGTACACAAAAACAACCACGACCAAAGTAGAAACCAAAAGTGACACATGGGAAAAGCGAGTTTAGCTACATCTGTAAGTTAAACCTCTGTTACGATCACAGCGAAATTAGAAAGATCTTCCAAGATCGCAGCAACATCCACGATCACCCACTGCAGTTGTAACATTTTACTTTGCACTTAACACAACTGTCCTTGAAGCGCCGTCAATGAGTGGAAACCTTTTTTGTAAGCTATTGGTGACGATTATTTAAAAACATGTAATTTTCCCAGCACTATACAACACTGATTCACGGTCTTTTCTCCGGTTAAAACTCAAGAACAATAGTTGCACTTGCGATTACTTAAACCGGTTAAGTAAGTCTCAACGTTTTTAATCACACTTGGTTTGGATGTGCCTACAAAACTTGATCGGAAATGGTTGCGGTATTTGTAAACAGTATTTAATGTAAACATATCAGTGACAGCTAGAAGTGAGAACTAATCCAAACAGCTGATCGTTATTTCATAAAATGTAATAGTTAACATTGAAAGACAATTTGAAAAAAAATCTAACAAAATTGGGTTTTTGATGGTTCGTTATTTTGTTTTCAAAGAAGCAAGGCCATGTTTTTATAGCCAAAGACACTTACCAATCCAGTAAATACAGAAAAATGATTTGAACCTTGATCGGTTCTTTAGTTTTCTAGGAGTAGGCCGCGTAAAATTACATTTTGGCTCCACAGACAGAATGACAGAATTGACAGACAAACAGACTGACAGACAGACAGAAATTGAGATAAGACTCGTTTCGGCTTTCTTAGGATATGAAACGTAAAAATAACTGAAAACTGCATGATTCTAAGCAATGTAGAGACAAAAATTGTAATTTTTTCGGTTTTCTTAGGTTATGAAACTTAAAAATAACCAAAAACTGCATGATTCTAAGCAATGTACAGACAAAAGTGTAATTGTATTTATATAGATGAACCAATTAAGATAAAATAGACATGACCGTTAATTTTGATGGAGCAACTTAGTAATACAATTTTTAAGTCTGTAAACAATTTAGTAAATGTAAAAAGAAAATTGATTTTTATGTCTTATTAAATTATGTTAATTACCTCTAAATGCTCTGGCCTGGTGAGATGGACTTCTGCTATTGGGCCGTTCCATACTCTGAAGATTGGACCGTAATTCTCAGTTCTGCTTCGGAACACTTTCATAAGTTCTGAAAAATGAAATTGTTTTCATATCTGCATCAATGGCATTTTATAATGGACAATCTTAAACAAATATTTGTGACCAAGTGACCTATGGCTCAAATAGATTATTGCAATAATATGTGCAAACAAAATATTTTGCTGTTTTATTTTGTATAAAAAATACTTTAAATGCACTCACATAAAACTAAGTTACTTTGGGTGAAATTACCAACCAAATAGAAATATCACATTTAACCGCAAGCTATACAATAGTTAAGTTATACAGTAATATATCATTTTTACAATAGTGGAAACAACAACCTTTGAATGTATTTAGTTTGATAAAAAAACTAATTTCAATTGTAAAAACAGCTTTACTAATTGGCCAAACAAGTGGAAAAATAGCCTATAATATAATTTATTATTCAATAGCGTCAGCTTATACATATGACAGCAAGGTGGTTCTAATTACCATTTCTTGGCACCAACAAATCCATGACATTTCCTAGAACTGGAATAGTAGGCGGTCCTGGGAATTTATTGACAGATTTTTTGAACTTGTATCTCTGAACTGACTTCTTGACAAAAAATACAACAGCCACCACTAGAATGACACAACTGACAAAAAGCTCTGATACAATCATCTGAAAAAGACAACAACCTATTATTTAGAGTCAGAAAATTGTTATGGACATGCAAAGCAGTAAGTGGTAAAATACAAGACCAACCAACATCACTTCTTGACCTACGTTATAATGTTTTTATACTTTACGTTTATACTTTATAAGTATTTATAAGACCTCATTCAGTTTATGCTTGTACACTGTTTGACATAGCCTGTATTGTTGATTGACCGAATAAAATCATTGTATCATTGTATCTTGTTTTTAGTTTTCTTCAAAAACTTATTTTTTATTAGCGAATTGCCCTATAGGGAAGTAGCTATTAGCGTAGGAGGCACGGTGATACGTGGAGCCAGGACCAATATACTTTTTCATTTTGATGTCCCTAGAACCCAAAAACACTATTTGTTAATATATATTGTAAGAAAGAGGATTAACCCCGTACCCACGGTGCTCATCTAAGCAGACACTCTGGTCACATTACACTTAGACGACCAGTTGGTGTGAACAGAGTTGAACAGTAGCATGAGCTAGGCGATGACCGGGGTCCGCGGAATTGGCTAACTCTGGAACTCGCTAACCCCATGTTAAATGCCCTATCTTCAAATTTGGTCGATGAGAGGAACTCGCTAACTTGTTCGGTTTCGGAATTGGCTAACTCCGGAACCCGCTAACCCGCTCTAAAGCCGGGTTAGCGAATTCCGTCCTCGTACGGAAGTCGCTAACTCGGTCCCTCGGCGGAACTCGCTAACTCCCAATCAGAAGCCTCGCGGGCCGTCCAATGGGAGCCAAGCACGAATATTTTTGGCCAGTGTTGCCGAAAGTGTACTACCTATATCGTATCGGTACCATAATGTCGTATCCTACGATTAATTAGGAGTAAGAACAACGTAGTCGATAAAATAAATATATTTGGAAGTATGTTTAACATTATTCTTATGGTTATTAGGGTGGAAAATGCATTATAGTCTTACCATAGACTAACCAACACAAGTAAACTTTACATCCCTTTGTAAACTTTGAAGCTCGTTTTTCGTGTCTAGTTCATGTCCGGTGACACTGATCGCTAGTGTCGACAAAATTGTGTTTCTATCATTTTATAGTTAACTTCATGATTTGTTCCTTACTGTTTGGTTATATAACTAGGGGACGTGTTATTAGTTGTGATTAGAACGTTTTATTTGGTTAAACGAGGTTTTAAATTACTGAAAACAAGAAACAATTGTAAACAAAACACGACCTCTAAAGACAGTGCACCGGACAGAACTAACAATACAACTGTCTTCAGATGATCCATAAGGATTAGAAATGTACTAATATAAGGGAGTATGTTTTATATGTGGGTTTCTTACTTAAATAGTAGCTTATTAGTATGAAAAAGATAAAAATGCACATTTAATTTGGATCTATTACATGTTATGAAATATCTATTTTCGTAGTCCGCCATTTGTTTCTTTTATTCGAATAAATACCATTTTGTGAACTTCTGCAAATAAAATTTTTGAGTTCGTATTTTATATACTGGGCTTGTAGTAACCTTAAATCATAAATCATAATAAAATTTACACGTTAAACGTCATTACAGAATTACATTGTAGTGGTTACGTATTTTTAAATAGAGCTATTGAATTTAAATAAATATTTATCAATACATTATAAAGTGGTAGGCCTAATGTATTCATGGATTGCATTAAAAGTTGGTCTATGCATAAATACAACTTGTAAATTTCTTTTATCGTAGGCTATTAGTGTAGAACCCGGGTCATCCTCTTAATTTTGTTGAATTAATATTAATTTTACGTCTTTCAGTAGGCTTACTTTTTAAAAGTCTGGAGTTTTTTTTCCAGGCTGGTTCTATCTTATCCAAAAACAAAGCTATTGTCTATTGTGTAGCTCAGTACTGGGGAACAGTGAACCGAGCAATGGCTTGCTATAGTTTACATCGTTTGTGAAAGCAATATAAAGGAAACCCAACACTCAAATCAGGAAAATCCGTCAATTAGTTTATTAAAAATCGTGAATTAAAATAACCCTGTCACGTTTTATTATATGAATATTATATCTTCTCCTATTTTTTACTAGTGGTGCTTAGGTGTACAATCTAAAAACTGTTTTAAAACATGTAACATTATTGCTAAAAAATTCAACACATTTTAGAATTAGGCAACTATTTACTAGTAGGCCTACAATGCTTTGGTTCAAACTATTAGGCCTAGATAATAACTTAGTCTATGTCATCATATGTGTACACGTAAGTTGGACGGTTCAAAGACGAACATTAAATTTAAAATCTATGAATTAATTATGAAAGTTACGATGGTTGATGACTGTATTAATTAATGGTTTTGGTTTATTACGACATTACAATTAAATCTGTTTTCCGTGTTTAAGAACTTGCGTGTATTTTAGCTTAATTTCGTAGAGGTTTAATTATGTATTACCAATTAAACTAAATTTTGAATATTTTTCATATTCTATTATTTTCTTTTATACAGTACTGATGGCATTTATATTTAAGATCGAAATCATAAACATTTAACTGGCCATTGTACAGTTTAATAAAAAACATTTTTTCATGATGTTTTAATTGTCTTTTAATTACTTTGGGCTAGTTATCTGTTAAAAGTGGAATTGATAACAAAAAACAATAACATTTACTGTATCTTTATAGACACTGACATTTTGAAATACGGCAGTGTACGATTATTTTGTCGTACAAGGTTGGCACCGCTCCGAGCAGTGGGCGCGGCCGGGTTAGCGACTTCCAGAGTTAGCGAATTCCGCCGCGAGACAAAATCGAGTTAGCGGGTTCCGGAGTTAGCCAATTCCTGACTGAGACGGTTAGCCAGTTCCAGAGTTAGCCAGTTCCGCCACACGACCGAGTTAGCGAGTTCCTGAGTTAGCCAATTCCTACGTCTCGATGACCGGTATGGCTGACTTCCAAGAAACATCGTTAACCTACAAGCCACAACAAACCCTATCGGTAATCAGCCAATGAGAAGGGCTAATGAAGAAGATTGAGGGGTGAGGAGTCTCGGAGCTGGAGGACCTGGAGAGGACAATCGGGGAGATCGCCACGGGCCACTGGACCAAGAAGATCAGGAGTTTCGGAGTGCGTGTATCGGTGCGTGTGCTTCTGGGACAAATAAACAGTATGTAAAAAGAATAAAATATATAACTAAAGTTTTGTAAAACAAACAAGTCATATAATTTGTCAGTAACTCATTCTTTAAAAATTTCAATTGATTTTCTTTTCTTGTAAATTTAATGTTGTAAATTAATTTATCTTACTATTGTTGTTCTTTGCCTTTCCAAAGTTTTCTTTTGCTGATGTAACACTTTGTAACTTTTGTAGATTTTCTAAGTTTTTAATTTTGTTCATTACACGTTGAGTAACACCCTTAAGCAGTCTTATGTCTCATTAACCTAACACCTCTTGACTAAGCTAAGCGAGTGAAACCTTTAGGAAACTTTAATTTAAAGTGAGGCATCGGACTCGCAATATATATATATATACATATACATATATATATATATATATATATATATATAAGGAAGTAGGAGTATGGTGAGGAGTGTTGAGTGTGGGAATGAATTAATGTGTCTGCAATGTTAAAATGCTATTGGAAGAGACTGTAGACTGTAGGTTAAAATGATTACGAAGCACCAATCGATCGATACATATTTCGATACATGCAATCGCTTTCAATAGAAATTTACATCTGAGTTGACAACAGCTGATTTTTACTCCATAGTGGCTAAAAAAAATTTTTCCTACAGTTGCCTAAAAATGTACATGTTCTCTCACTGATTTGAGAAAACAAAGTGGCCAATTCGCTCATCAGTGAGACAATGTTAACATTTTGCTCACTAGTTGCACAAATAACTATTTACTCCATAAAGAGTAAAAATATGCTACTTTAGAACCACGACGCATGCATTAAAAACGACTGTTTTTACTGCAGTATTACAAAAACAATCTAATATGAACCCTTGATGACTCCGCTCAATTTTGTGGATGCCTCTGCGAACGCCATCTAGTTAATATTGTAAATTGATTTAAAAATTGAAACTCTTCCAAAAACTTAAACAATATTCATTTATCCAAAAAAATATCGTCAACTGATAAAGTGTTATCAAACAAAAGATTTAAAATTACACATTATTTACGAAACATATTAGATATTTAAGATCTTCGACACATACCTTGCTGGATGTATGATATCAAGACGGCAGTGTTTAAAGTGAAGTGGCACATACAGTTTATATAGTGTACGGTGTGGGAGGCCGACTTGTTATCGGTGGACATTGGCCGCACGTTCCGCCACAGGTCTGTGCCTAACTGGCCAATCACAGTTGTGTAGCAGACGACGCGCCTCCGTGCCGTCAGGGCCAAGGTGCTGTGCAAACACGAGAAATAGGCCAACATTCTTTATCATACAACCCAATGATAGTATTCTAGGTATTCTTTGAATTAGTTTAAACTCTTACACAAAATGTCTATGTCGTTTTTGATATTGGTCTAAGGTTAAGGTTCTGGTTAATATTTACGTCAATCGAAAAACATTTTAACGAATAATTCCTTTTTATGCAGTGGTAGTAAATATATCTATAGACCATGTTACAACTGATACCGAGTTATGATGTAAATTTTTACTATTCGCATCGTGTTGTATAGGAGAGTATTTTACACTCACCACTCTCGGCTTTTTCAAAACTTCTACAAAACAAAAAAGTTTTTTGACTATATACATTAAAAATGTTAGCGAATCACTTCTTCGTTTTTTTTTAACTTACAAGAATAGCGCAGCTTATTAACTGAAAATTTTCTTTTGTAATGAAAAAACTGTGTTGATTCTAGGAGGATGAAACATTATTAAACATTAATGGTTAATCCTCCTAAGTTGAATTCCACACAGACTTTTGTATAAGAAGCGTACAATTTTGTAGAAGTATCATTGTGTGTTGTATTGCTTTAACAAGCCAACTGTTTTTTCAAGTTTGTTGAAAACACTATTATTTAGTTCTTAAAACCATTTTAGCCATGGGAAAATATTATAACACCAATTTGAACATACGGGTATGAATCATAACTTAAAATACTGAAAATATTTTTACTAGCCCCTAAATGGGTACCTCTGAAACTCAAACTGCGAAATAATAAATAAACGCTTACCACTTAATTCGAAAGCGATCTGTAGCTGGTGAAGGATTCACTACTTACAAAACAATTAATTTCACCCTTGAGATGTAAAATACCTTCTGAATCGACATAGATTAGGTTCACTCCGTAAGCTAGGATTTGTAGAGCTTCGACTGTCCGCTTATCATATTTCGCTAATGGCTAAACAAACCAACAGCTTTACGATTCCTTTGTAATAATTTAGGACTTTCGTCGAATATATAACTAATATTGGTTTAAGAAATGCAAGGTGTTTTT